AAAAAAAAAAAAAAGTATATATAAGCATAATTTTTATAAGAATGCATGCAACTCTAAAAAAAAAAAAAATTTTTATTTTTTGATCAAAAAAATAAAAAGAAAATAAATGTTTTAAAATAACATCAATTAAATGGAGCCTTTTATTTAAACTTTTCTATTTTAATATTTGTTTTTGTATGAATGTAAATAATAAAAAATATATATATATATATATACCAATTTCCTCTTATAAAAGACTTTTTTTATGTCTTTTTTTTTTTTTTTTTTAATTAAAATAATACACATGTAACAAGTTGAGTGGCAAAGAAAATATAAAGAAAAAAAGAGAATCCAAAACACTGCAGAAATAAATTATTAAGTATTTATTATTTGTAAAATATTTTTATAATAATAAAAATACTTCATAGAAGTACACAACATTTATTTTGTTATTCTAAATAAGTTTAATTCTAGAACTCTCATAATTTAAAACTTAAAATATAAAAAGACATGAATTATAAAAAGGTTTATAATATTAAATATGTTTCATTTTTATTTTTAACCTAACAAATTCATAAATAAAATTGTAGCATTATCAAATCGATAAATGTCTTTTTATTTATTTTTATTGGTTTTAGAGAATTTGGTAATAATATATAAATATTCTTAGTTCTCTAAATGAAATTCATTTTTTATAAGATAAATTTTAAAAAAAAAAAAATCCAAATTACAATTTTATTGGAATAATATAGTTACTTATATTTTTTTACAATTTAATGTTCATATAAATTTATAATATTTATTGTAATTTAATGGTAAGAAGAATCTTTTTTTAGCAATTAATAAACTTTTTATTTAAAACTTAAAACCAAATGATTTTAAATATTAAGAAAAATATAAAATATAAATTCATAAGAATATAGAAAGTATATATACTTATGATCTAATGGAACAAAAGGTTAGTAACAATAGATATATAAAAACTCAAATATTATGATAAATAAAAAATATAATTTTAATTAATGAAAATAAAATAATTATGTTAATAAACTATCAAAAATTGTAATACAAAAAGTATACCTTAAAAATGCATACTCTTATAATTTGTGATTTTTCACATATTCATATGTTTATATGTGTGAGACAAATAACTACATCTTTTTTTTAAAAATAGGATTAAATTTTTTATTTTATCTATACTCTTTTCTAATATATATATATATATAAATATGTATATATTTTTTATTTATTTATTTAATATCTAATTTTAATTATATAAATAATATAAAAAAGTTTATAGTTATTTTAAGATTAGATAGTGCACTGAATATTTTTATTATATTTAGACATTTTTATCTTTTTTTCTCTTATATATTTATTTAAATTTTTTTAATTTTTATTCTTTTCAACATTCTTTTTTTTTTTTTTTTTCTACCTTAAAAATAATGCCTTTTTTACTTATATTAATTAAAAAGAATTAAATAATTTCTTTATAATTTTATTAATTTTTTTTTTAAAAAATATAATGATACACTATTTTCCTAATTTACTTAATGATATGAAAAAAATAACATAATAACAAAAATGTTTTAAATTAAGTAGTTTCATTTTATTTTTACATTTCTCTCATTCAACAAAAAAGAAAAAAAGAAAAAAATACAAAAAAATACAAAATGAAAAATGTTTCTCTTATTTTTAGTGAAAAATTCAATAAACATTTTTTAGAAAAGAAAAAAAGAGAAAATAATTTAAGTGAAGAAAAAAAAAGAAAAGAAAATATATTCGATGTTAATAATTTCAAGGTCAATATAAAAGAAGAAGTTATTAAGGATATAAATATAATTATAGAAAAAAAAAAAAAAATTCTTGTAAATAAAACAGACAATAAAGAAGAAAATAAAATAGAAAATAAAATAAATGATAAAATAGATGATAAAATATATGATAAAATAGAAAATAAAATATATGATAAAATATATGATAAAATTGAAAATAAATATTCAAAAAACAATTGTCATAATGGTTACGATGATAAAAAAGGAATCAAAAAAAAAAATATTGAAGAAGGAAACAAATCTAGTAAAAGTAATAGTATAATTAACAAAAACGAAAAAATCAATGATAAGAAAAATTTACATGATATAATTAATGATCCATTTATAAAAATGAAGAAATTAAAATTAAGATTTAGTAACAAATATCTAAATAAAAGTGAAGATTTATCTTATAACATTTTAAAAGAGTATCATAGTATTATAAATAATTGTATCAATAAGATAAAAGATGAAACATTTATAGAAGCAAACTTACTAAAAAAAGATGTAGAAAATTTACTAACTCTAATAGAAAATTATATTAACGAATTTATTAAATCTAAGTGTAATGGTAATGAAATAAAACCATTAAATGAAACTAAAATAAATGATAATTACATATTTAGTATAAAATATTACGAAAATATAATGCGTAATACCATATATGACTCTATTTTATTACATGATGATAGTATTAATATTATAAAAAATAGTAAAGAAAATTTAGTTAATGAAATGAACAAAAAAGTAATAGAAAAAAAAGAGAAAACTAAGGAAAAATTGACAATAATCCAAAATTTATTTACAAAATTAAATGAAAGAATAAAAACTTTCATTATTAATTTTGAAAAAAAACATGAATTATACATTGAAATTGTAAATAATAGAACACAAGAATTAGAAAAAAAATTAAAAGAAAAAATATTTTTCACTAATAATGAAATAAATGATTTAATTAATAATGAAATAAAAAATAATAAATCATTTTTTTTAAATTTCTTAAATTATTTTAATGATTACATAATGAAAATATACAATTATGTTTATGCGAAATATTCTAAATGTGAATCGTTTTTCTTTGATGTATTTAATGAGGATAAATGTCAAGATAATTTTTATATTTTTTCTGTTATAAGTGAAAATTATTTAAATAATTTATTAAATGACAAAATTTTAGATTATTTATTGAAACAGCTCAAAAGTAACTATGACTCTATATATAAAAAAAGAATAGAACTAAAAAAAGAAGAATATTTCTACAATTTTTTTTGTTTAGAAAATTATTGTGATTTTTATAATTACTTAAATGTGTATTACGAAGAATACAGTAAAACATTTAATGAAATAAAAATAAAAATAATATACTACAAAGACATTATTATTCATATTTTTTTTGATATTCAAAACTTTTTAAAAATAATAAATTTTCATATAGAGGAAAAAAGTAATAAAAGTGAAAATAATAGTAAAAACAAGGCACAAATAGAAAATAAAAAAAAAAAAAAAGAAAAGAAAAATATTACTAATGGAGAAAATATTACGTGTTTATTTAATTCAGAAGCAGATAATGAAAAAAAAAAAAAAAGTATGAATTTTATTAAAATGGAAAATATTATAAACTGTAATGAAAATTTTTTTAATGAAACAGCATTATTTGATAATGTAGAATTAACATTGGATTATAATAATAATATAAATAAAAATAGAAATATGAAAATAGAATTTACAAAAGATAATAAAAATGTAAATGTGCAATATGGAGAAAATATAATCCATCATAATAAAAATACCTTTGAAAAATGTATAGAAAATATTTTAAACTACTATAATATAATAAATCTAAGAGATGATTTTTTTTTTTTATCTTTTTTTCAGTTTTTAGAAATATTGAAAAATGATACATTTATGCTTCAATGTGAGATTGAAAAAAAAATTAAAAGTAATATTAGCTATTGCGAAAAAGAAAGTTGTAGTTTAAATGAAAAATATAATTCTGTTTTTAGAAAATATAATGAAAATGTTAAAAAATGTTTAAGATGTAAGGATTATAATGAATTAAATAAATTACTAATTCTTCATGATGAAATAGTGATAAATTTAGAAGATTTAATAGAAAATACAAATGAAAAAATAGATAACATAAATAATAAGTTCTTGATAGAATTAAAAGAATACTCATCAAATTATTTTTTTTCTATATTAAAAAAGTCAAAAATAATAATAAGTGATGATAATAGGAAAATAAGTCAAAATAAAATAAAAAGGAAAGATTATATTTGTAATGAAAAAAGTAGTAATAAAACAATAAAAGGAAAAGAAAATGTTAATATCAGAAAAAATAGTAAAGTGACAAAAGAAAAAAACATAAACAAAATAGAATATGAATATAAAAATTCCGAAGCAAAAAATTATAGAAACGTTTTAGAAATTAATGTAAAAAATATAAACGAAAATAACAAAGAAAATGAAATGAACATAATTAATAAAATTGTTAATACAAAATATAAATATATTTATAATACATCAAATATTATTCTATCAACATATGATAATTATAAATACAACATAAAAAATATATTATATAAAGACTATGATAGTATTTTTTATGAAAGTTATTTAAAAAAAAGGAAAACAAAAAAAGGAGATGAAAAAAACGCTTACACACAACAAAAAAATATTATCATAAGAGATATAAAATATATTAAAGAAAATATTATTCAAAATAAAAAAGAAAAAATAGAAAATATAAATGAAAAACAAGATAATTATGAAATAGATAATAATTATATAGATGATATGATAATTACATCTTTTATTAGTCCACTAAATTATGATAATATATTATTCAATTTAAATAATATTCAAAGCAGATTTGAAATATTCATAAATAATTATTATGAACATTTTAAAAATAATTTATTTGAGTTTCTCTTAAAAATAAAAATGAATATAGAAAACCAAGAATATACAAAATATTTTAAAAGAATAGAACGTGATAAATATAAGGAAGAGATTAAAAAAAATAATCTGAATTTACATGAAATTAGAATATCCTTAGAAAAAAAGTACTTAAAAAACAAAGAAATGTATAATAATTATACAAAAAAACTAAAAGAATTCATAAAAGAATATATAAGTGTTATGAAAGATGGTAGCTTAGAAAAAAATTTTAAAAGTAATATAAAAAGAATAGATAAACTATTTTTAGAAAAAATTGATAATCATGAAGCTACTGACAAAAAATATATTTTATTTTTTGAAAAATTTAAAGATAGTTATAATATAGTTAATGAAGAATTACAAAATATGATTAATAATTTAAGTAAGGAAATAAAAAAATTAGAAAAATATTTTGAAATGATTATAAAAACAAAAGAACAAAATGTTGATATAGAAGAAATAAGAAAAGAATTGCAAAATTCAAACATTTTCATGCAATCTATAATTAAAAAAAAAAAGGAAATAGATAATATATATAACGCAAATACTTATATTTTTAATAATAAAATGAAAATAAAATCAAAAAGTAATATAATAGAAATAAAATCTAAGAACTCTTCTGATAAAGAAATGATGAAATATTTATCATTTAAAGAAGAAATAAAAAATAGTATATTAATATTTTATATTTTAATATTTTATATTAAGACTCACATTTTTAATAGGAATAAAGAAAAGGAAAATGAGGAAAAATTAATAACAGAAAATGAGAATAATGTCTCCCTTTCTGTAATTCCTAAAATAAAAGAATCAAGATTTAAAAGAAATAATTCTAATCATAGCATTAGTAATAATGAGAAAAACTTAAATAATAATGAAATAAATATAGAAAGCAAATTTAAACTTATAGAAAATTATATATATAATATAAGTATATTTCAAAAAATAAAAAAAATATATGAATTGGATATAAAAAATGAGAATTCATTTTTTAATAATTTTTTAATCTTTTTGAAAATTTCTGAAAATATTAATAATTTAATTTTTTCAAAAAAAAACATTTATGAATACAAAGATATCTTAATAAATTTTCATATTTATGATGAAAATTATAATAGTAAAATAGGAAAAGAAAAAAATATAACATATATAATAAATTGTGATAATAATAATAATAATACTGCTAATAATAATAATAATAATAATACTGCTAATAATAATAATAATAATAATACTTCTAATAATACTGCTAATAATACCGCTAATAATACCGCTAATAATACCGCTAATAATACCGCTAATAATACCGCTAATAATAATAATAATAATAATTACAATGATATAATTAACGATAAGAATGAAAAATTGGGAGATAGAGAAAACATAAAAGAAACTTATATTTTCGAAAATAAAAATAATGAAGAAAAAATAAATCATCCAAAAAATATAAAAAAAAAAAAAAATATTAATAACGAAATTAATGAAAAAAAATTAAAAGTTAATGAATATAAATCAATTGAATCAATGAAAGATACAAAACATTATATAAAAAATACAATTATTAAAAATTATTGTAATTTAAAATTTTTTTTATATATTTGTGTATATATTATTTACCTAATTGGTAAAATTATAAAAATTTATGATTATAACATATTCTCAGAAGAAGAAAAAGAAGAAGAAAAAGAAGAAGAAAAAGAAAAAGAAAAATACAATCATTTTCTATTTATTACATATGATTTATCTTATTTAATATATAAAAATTCTATTTTAAAAGATAATAAATTAAAGAATAAAATATATTTAAAAGATTTAAAATTAGACAAAAAATCAAAATCTTCTTTTATATATTTTCCTAATGATAATATATATAAAATAGAATTAATAAATTTATTTAATTTTGAAAAAAAAGTTATTTCAGATTTATTTGAAACATATTTTTATCAAGTAAAAAATTTACCACCCATTGATGAAAATAATAAAAATTTTAAGAAATTACAAAATGAAGTAAGTTTTACAATTGTAATATACAACTATATATACAACTATATATACAACTATATATATACAACTATATATACAACTATTTATATATATATAATATAATTATATTTTCTTAAAATTATTTTGTTATTTAATAAAAATAACTGAAAAAAATATGTAAAAAGAATTATAAAATATTTAAAGTTTAAATATATTTTATTTTTACATTATTATAACATTTTTCATTTTATTAAATATCTATAAATTACTTTAACTTTTTATTTTTTATTTATTTATATCAGTACAAAAGTGATATATCAATATTAGTTCTTTATTTGAAAATTTTATCAAGGAAATTAGCCTATCTAATATTTAGTTATGCTTATAAATCACATGAAGAATTAATCAAGTAACATAATGTTGTATATTAAAAAAAAAAAAAAAAAAAAAAAAAAAAAATGAAAGCAATTGATAAGAAAAAATTATAATTTTATATGTTTTATTATTTATAACAGTAAAAGAATAAATAATATGCAAAAAAATTTTAAATTAAAATTTCAAGAAATAAGTGAAAAATTTAAATTAACAAATAATGACAACATTATTATTACAAAAAGAAAGAAAGAATTAAAAAAACTGATGGAATTATATGTTTTGTGTGTAAAAAATATTTTATCAAATCATTTATATTCTCTTTATGAAAATCTATATAATAATTTAATTTACTTCGTTTGCTTACTAAATTTATTACCACCTATCTGTTCTTCTCAATCAATTAAGTAACATCATAAAATAAATATCTTATAATGAACTTCATAAATATAATAATTAAATTGTATTTATAAAGCACATAAATATAAAATAGAAAAAAATAAGTGTAAATAAATATATATTAGAATTAATTAAAAAAAAAAAAAAAAAAAAAAAACATTTATTAATTTTTTAAAAATATGAATATATCAATACATCAATTTATTTGTCTCATGGAAATATATAATTTTAGAAGTAAAATAGAATGATATATATATATATATATATATATATTTATTTTTTCACCTTTTAATACTATTTTTCCTTTTTTTATGTTTATTTTTAGCTTAAAAAAAACTAATGAATCTAATAAAAATGTTAATATAAAAAATAAAGAATTAGGATGTTTTCTAAGAATAAAATACCTTGATAATTCTAATGAATGTATATATTTTTAATTTTTTAACAGTATAATTATCAAAATATACAAAAGATAGTAATAATACAATTCTTTTTTTTTTTTTAAAGATGATTTAAGTGATCTTATTAAAAAAATTAGAAAAGTGTATGACTTAAATTATGACGATCATATAAATGAAAATGAAATAATAAAGATTAATAATGTAAATAAAGAAATATTTTATATGGCATATATTGAAGATAATTCATTCATCGTTAAGAAATTAGAGAAGTTAAAAACTTAAAAAAAAAAAAAAAAAAAAAATCTCTATATTTATTCTTCTACTAAAAACAATTTTATTTTTTTTAATATTTTTTTAATTTTTTTTTTTTAGAAAAATAGAGAAATATATGTCAAAATATTACAAGCATATAACTAAAAATCTGGATGAAAAAAAAAAGGAAATTATAAAAATAATTTCAAACGATAAAAAATTACATAGAAAATATTATGAATAATAATAAAAAAAAAAAAAAAAAAAAAAAAAAAAAATTATATATATATATATATGTTTACGTTTCATTAAATATATCTTTTGCCAACATAGTATAAAATTGAATAAGACTATATATATGATTAATTTTATATATTAAATTATTGTTTAAATTAATTAATAAATCTAAACCATATAAATTCATTTTATCCATATTATTTTTATAAATATAAAAAGATGTTTCATTTTCATTTGTTTCTTCATTTGTGCAATTATTTGATTTAGTACTAATGTTATTTATTAAAGTCAAATCATTTATTTTAGATAATGGCATTATGAAAGATTTATTATTTTTTTTGTTTGTATCTTTCTTTGATAAATATAAATTATTAATATTGTTTAGATGATGATAATGATCGTTATTTATTTGATTGTTGTTAAAATTCTCAATATTTCTATTTTCTTCTTGATTCATTATTTGAATACTATCATTAGAAAATATATTTAAATTTTTTGCTTGCATATTTCCAATACCATTTTTAAAGAGAGTTTCTAAATTTTCTGATAAATTATAATTAAAATCTACAATTGCATCTAATTTATGTTTTATTTCTATAGTAGATATATTTCCATTATCATTTTCATTTAAATCATTTACATTTAATAACTCGTTTTGATTATTTTTGTTATGTAAATTGTTTAATAATAATTTTTCTTCCAAAATTTTTTTTTCTATCAAACTTTTATTTTCAATTGATTTTATAAATAGTGGCAAATATTTTAAAAAAGTAAAAATTTTTTTTTTATATTCATTTTCACTTTTTTTTGATTCAACTAATAAATAATAAATTTCATCTGTTGATAATTCAGCAGATGGTCTATTATCATCATTTAAGTCATTACTATCATAAATTACTTCAATATTTTTATTATCAACAATTTTGACATTTTTAATAAAACTTTTTAAATCTTTTTCAATACAAATTTTATTATTTTCATCATTTTTTTCTTCTTCTAGTGCATTATTTCTTCCATTACTTTCTTTTTCTATTCCTTTCTCATCTTTTTCATTTTCTAAATTATTTAATTTTTTATATTCTTCATATTCATTTAATGTTTTACTCAAAAGTAACAAAAATTTTTTTTGCCATAAAACACATACATTTAAACAAAGTAATTTATTTTTATTTGTTGGATCATTTTTTTTAAAATGTTTTCTTAAAATATATTCAACCTTGTCTTCAAATAAATCACTCATACTATCAAAATATTCTTTGTATTTCTCATCAATAAATACATAATTGTCTTCTTTTTCTTCTTCTTCTTCGATACATGAACATTTATTCAAATTATTATCTTTCTTTTTAATATGTGAATCATAATATATACTCATTTTGTTCTACTATATCATTTAATCTGTAAATATATTTATATATATATATATTAAAAATTTTAATACTATAAAATTTAAACTTTTTTCAATACTAATTTTATGTATATCAAATTAACTTAATTTTTTTTTAAATAGTTTTAACTTGTAAATTTTACATTAATATATATTTTATTTTATACTAATAAAATTATGAAAATATTTTTTTATTACTTTAAAGAATTCCATTTACATTTTGCAAATTAATTTTTTTTTTAAAATTTTCATAAAAATTTATTTTTTAAAATATATTTTAAATTTCATATATATAAAATAATAATATTAAAAAAAAAAAAAAAAAATGAAATAATTGTGAAAATATTTAAAAATTTATATATTATTTTGACTATTTTTTTCATTTATATTTTTTTTTTTTTTTTTATATATAATGTCTATTATTTTCAAAATACTTTTAAATATAAATTATTTTTTACTTTATATATTTATATTCTTAAAATGTGCACGAAAATAAGAAATTAAATTTTTTTTTAACTAAAAAAAAATATGAATGAATAACAAAATAAAAATTAAAAAAATATAAAAAAAATAAAAAAATAAAAAAATAAAATAAATATACAAGAAAAGCAAAAAACATAGAAAAACAAAAAACATAATAAGTATTATTATAAGATAAAGTTAAAATGTATGAAATTCAATTAACTAATTCAAAAGAATTACAAATAGAGTTAATAAATCCTGAAAAAGAAACATGTAATATAGAAAAATGGGATAAAAAGAATTTTAAAGAAATTATAAAAAGAGTATTTATAGGAAATTATGAAGATTCAAAAAATGTTATATTACTAAATAATACCAGTATTACACGTATTAAGAATTTAAAATAAATAGAATAATAAAAAATAAATAAATATTATAAAAAAAAAAAAAAAAAGCATTTAATAATTATTTTTATTTTAGATATTTTAATTATAAGATATTCTAAAGAAGATTACACAACAAGAATAAATTTTCCACATGTAAAATAAAATATTAATATATATTTTAGTTATTTTTTATTTTAAAATAGAATAAATAATATTTAATTCTATATATATATATACAATCTTTCTGTTTTTTTTTCCTTTTATTCTCCTAAAAAGAAATTTAAATATTACATAATTGATCTAAATAATGAATTTGGTTTCACAAGTTGTTCTCATTTTAAATATTTACTTGATGAAATACTATTTGAAAATAATAAAAACAAAATTTTTATTCATAGGTATTTATAAAATAAAATTTTAATTCAAAAAAGAAAAATAAAGAAAAATTTTTTTTCTCTCTATGAAAATTAATTTTTAATAGCACATATATTTTATTTTTCTAATTTGTCAAATTAATTTTTATAATCATTTTTTATAAACTTTTTAGTTATTTTTCTTTAAAGTATATTTTATATCTATTAATATTTTATATTGTTACTACCTTAAATTATGAAATTGATGATGTTATTTTATACATAAAAAAAATAGTAACGGATTTTGTTATATCCAACGGTAATTTCTAAAAGGAGTTTTAAATGTTTATAAAAATATGAAATAATTCTTATTTTATATACATTTATTAAATATCTATGTATTTTTCTTGTCATTTCTTTTTATATGTGTCCTATTTTAGAAGAAGCAGATAAAATTTATTATTTTACGAAAAGACATAAATTAACGTATTTTCCTGGGTATTTCAAAAAAAATATATTATTTTTTCCATTTTAAATACAAAAAAAAAAAAAAAATTTAATTTCAATTAATTTATATTTTTGTTATTTATATATATTTTTTATTATTATTTTTTAATAATTCAGTGAATATACTAGCTATCTAGATGTTACAGACAATATAGAAAGCTAAGAAATATTCCTTCAAACGAAAAATGCTATTTTTTTTTTTTAAATTTATAAAAAAAAAAAAAAAAAAAAAAATTTCAATCTATAAAATATTTAAGAAAAGAAAGAAGTTTTTTAATAAACAAATATACACATGTATAATTTATATTAATAATATAGTTAAGGAATTAAATGTAAATTAAAATATAAAAGTAATAAAAATTAATATCCATAAAAGTTAATTAAAACTATATATATATATATATATATATATATATATATATATATATATATATGAATTCATGCATTTTTATTATAATACCTGAAAGACTTTTTTTTTTTTT